CGTCACGTGACAGGGCGGTGCGGGCGTCACCGCCTGCCTGCGGGCGCGCGCATGCGCAGCAGCGTCCGCGCCGCGCGAGCCCCGGAGCTCCCCCGTGGAGAGCGAGAGGCGTTTTTGTCTCGGAGGCGGCTTTAAAACAGAAGCGTTTTTGTAACGGAGCCGTTTTCGTAACAGAGGCGGCTTTGGCTGTGCTGTGGTCGGGCGTGAGGGTGTCCTCAGGCCGAGAGGGCTGAAAGCAGCAGTCAGTCCTCGTGCAGCACAGCCCTGAGTGGGCCCGCTGATTCTAATGGAACGACTTGAGTAGTGGCCCTTCAGCGGAAAAGGAGGATTGTGGAATATTGTCCGCAGTGTTTGTGCCCTGACAAAAGGTGCCGCCTCCTGTGAGTTCAGTAGAGAGAGGCAGCAGTGTCCCTTTAAGAGAAGAGCAACCATCTGGCTTGAAACAAGAGTTGCACTTCACCTTTTTTTACAGGATTGTGCTAAAAACACGTATTTATTGCAGCCTGTATTTTATTACTCTCTATCTTGCTGCCTCAGGTATGTTAGTGTAATACTAACATACAGATAGCATTTTACAGCCACTTGGCCCCGGTATTGGGGAAGAAGCAAGGTGGTAAAGAAAGCAGTGTTGTGGTTGAAATTTAAGAGAATTTTTTATGTGCTTGGAACAAGAATAAGTGATTCCATGAATTACAAAACAGGAGAGAATGTGATGTGTAGATTGAAACAGTAAAAAAAAAAAAATTGTAGATTGAAACAGTAAAAAAAAAACTGCTCTAAGATTTTTTTCACCTGCTGCTTGAACTGTTTAGATTCAGCTGCATTAGGGCAAGATGGTCACATTGCACTATAAGCGCAGTGCCTTCCCACTGGAATTTTGGGGAGTTTTTCTGTCGACTTCAACTGGAAGTAGAATTAGACGCTGTTTGGCATTAAGTGCTACAGAATGAAACTGTAGGCATCAGTCTGTGTCGGCCACACCAGAAAGAAAGTACCCTTTGCCTGACGACATGCATAAAGCAGTGAAGAAAATGCAGACACACAGCTAGGGCAAAACTTGTTCTCAACTATAGCCCCGGTGATCTAGCACGGTCTCCAGTTTTCGGAGCGTTTAGCATGTCTCTTAGTCTGCGTGTCCACGTGTATCTTCAAGCTGTGTTGCACACATGCTGCGTCAGGAAGCAAAACGAATGTGATACGGCTGCCAGGGCTGGCTGCGCTCCACGCTGCCGAAGCCCTGGCTCTCCCTGCACCCAAATCCAGCACATTTAACCTTTCCCGGGGTAAAACACAGCAGACTCCATGTGGTTCCACTTCCTCTCCTACGTAGGCTGCACTGTTTCTTTTGTGGACGGTTGTTTTAAGAAGATGAAGCACAATTTTGCAGCGGTCTCCTGAGCCCTGTGCAACACACCCTTCCCGTGCTGACGGAGAGCTCTGGGAAGGGATGGGCGCTGCAGCCAGCTGGGCTACGTGCGTGAGGACGTGTTACGCAGGGCTGTTAAGGGCTGCAAGATAGGGCCTGATGCTGTCGCAAAACCAGCTGATTTCTGGCCGTGGTGGCTCCCTGTCTCAGCATGAGGCGTATTTGTTTAAACAAGGAGCATGTGCATAACCACAGACACACGCGTGCGTGCACACACACACATACACCCTGCTGATGACATCGAGAATAAATGTTTTATCCGCATGACTTTAGGAGGGACGCTTTTGTTCACACTGAACAAATGTTGACAAACTCTTACCTATACATTTGCTCCAAAGGAGCTGTTCTATACAGTACTAGAGAACTTGTTTTTCACTAAGATTATTTCTCCTAGAATGAATTCAGCTGAGTCTTCTTCAAGAGGCGATTCTAAAATCTCTAGAGTAAATTGGTCTGGACGTTTTATATATATATAAGTGTGTATTATATATATGCATATATATATATATACACACCATTAAGAACTAGGACTGGCTTCAGTGAGCTCAGGGTGGATGCACAGGTGTGAAAGGGATGTGAAAGATCAGACCGAATTGCTTCGAGAACTGAAGGGCATGCTTTAAGACGCACATACACCCGAAGGCTTTGTGGATTTGCGTCTCTAAATAGCTTTTTTCCATTTCTGTGACCGTGCAGCAGGAACAGCTGAGTGCCGAAGACACAGCTGGCCGCCAGTGATAACGGGGGCCTGTCACTTTGTGGTAAAGTTAAAAACTTGTTATTTGGGAGCAGAAGGGAGCCCCGCCAGCAGGCGCACCCCGCGACCTGCCGCTTGCTCCGGCCCGCTCTGCCGAGGCGGCGGCGATGGTGTTTCCATGTGTGTGGGGATAACTCCGCGCCTTCCCAAGAACTGCCAGCTGCCCGGTGGTGTGACATGACACGGGATCAGGGACGGCGGAACCGCCGCTGTCCCCCGTTGCGGTGCGGGAGGAGCTCTAAGGGCCAGTCCACAACTGGAGGAACTTGGTCATTCGCTTCTCACTGTGCGCGCCCTTAAATGAATAATCAGCTCTTACGTGCTTCTCGGATTTGACTCAGTGCAGCTACCCTGTGTGTTTTTCTTTCGTTTCTTTAATCCCCCGCTGTATCTTATCCCCATGTCAAGACCTTGGCCTCCCTCACTGCGCCTTGGAGTCCATTCCCCTGTGTTCCTTGGGTGTTGCAAGGCTCAGTTAATTAGCCAGGAGCTCTAGTTCTCTTCCCACACACGGGGGGGATCTGCACTCTGAGCTGGCACAGGCGAGTCTCAGCTCCTTGTCTCAGCATCTCAAATCACATTTAATTTCTCATCTAACCTATGATTCAGATTTTTAACTCTCCTTCCTAGATAGGGAAACCAGAACAGCTGTAAGTTGAATAGAGGAGAGCTTCAGAAATAACACTTTTGGCAGTGCCCGTGCCCAATTTGAGACGCTTTGGTTACATCTACACTGCTGAGTAAAGCAGGGCAAAAAAAACGATCTCCAGCTCCAAACTCAGCAGAGTCACTGCAGCCACTGCACCCTGGGTCTCCTCTGGGTTTGTAGTGATGCACATGCAGCTTTTAGTCATAGACTTTATTTTGTATGTGGTTTGTTTTTTTGGTGTTTTGCTTTTAGATCACAAAATATCTGAAGTAACAGATGTGCTGCAGTCCATCAGAGAGCTACTTTTCGAGTCTAAAATTGAGGCTATGTGACATGAGGGTATTTGGGGTATTTGGTGTCCCATTGGCCTTCTTGGCCGTGAGGGCACATTGCTGACTCCTGGTTAACTTGTTGTCAGCCAGGACTCCCAAATCCCTCTCCGCAGAGCTGCTTTCCAGCAGGTAAACCCATAATCTGTACTGGTGCCTGCTGGGGTTATTCCTCCCAGGTGCAGGACCCTGCATACCTGCATTGTCCTTGTTGAACCTCAGAAATAGCCTGGTCAAAGGACTATGACAAAAAGTACAGATGATGTGAGCCCAAGTCACCCCTATGCATCTGGGTTGGTGGGCTCTGTATGTGATGCCCACCAGCCAAGCTTGCTGCATGTGCTTGGTCGGTCTTGTGCTGCACTGATGGAATCATTGCCCTTCCTAAAGTTTCCAGTTTTGGGGGGAGATTTCACTAGGATCTATAAAATCTTATGGAATAGA